TATTACACATATAGAACACAATTTTTCATATCTCTGGTTGTATACAAAGTATATTCACACCATTCGTGTCTTCATACATGTATTTAAGGTAATCATATCCATCTCATTCCACCATCTTTTTCTACCCCCATTCGCCCTCCCTTCCCCTCACCCCTTTCCCCTATCTAGAGTTTGTCTAATCCTCCCATCCTCCCCCTCCAAACCCCACTATGAATCAGCCTCCTTATATCAGAGAAAACATTCGGGATTTGTTTTTTGGGGATTGGCTTACTTCAATTTAGCATTATATTCCCCAACTCCATTTACCTGCAAATGCCATGATTTTATTCTCTTTTATTATTGAGTAATATTCCATTGTGAATATATACCACATTTTCTTTATTCATTCATCTACTGAAGGGCATCTAAGTTGGTTCCACAGTTTAGCTATTGTGAATTGTGCTGCAATAAACATTGATATGGCTTTGTCCCTGTTTTTAAGTCCTTTGGGTGTAGACCAAAGAGTGGGATAGCTAGGTCAAAAGGTGGTTTTATTCCCAGTTTTCCAAGGAATCTCCATACTGTTTTCCATATTGGCTGCACCATTTTACAGTCCCACGAGTATGTATGTATGTATGAGTGTGCCTCTTTCCCCTCATCCTCACCAACACTTAGTGTTGTTTGTATTCTTAATAGCTGCCATTCTGACTGGAGTGAGATGAAATCTTAGAGTTAGTTTTGATTTGCATTTCTCTAATTGTTAGAGATGTTGAACATTTTTTCATATATTTGTTGATTGATTGTATATCACCTTCTGACAAATGTCTATTCACTTCCTTGGCCCATTCATTGATTGGGTTATTTATGGTTTTTTGTTTTTTGTTTTTTTGGTGTTTAGCTTTTTGAGTTATTTATATACCCTAGAGATTAGTGCTCTATCTGATGTGCAAGTGGTAAAGATTTGCACCTAACTGTAGGCCCTCTATTCACTTTACTGATTGTTTCTTTTGCTGAGAAGAAGCTTTTTAGTTTGAATCCATCCATTTATTCTTTATTTTAATTCTTGCGCTATAGGAGTCGTATTAAGGAAATAGGGGCCTAATCCGATATAATGGAGATTTGGACCTAACTTTTCTTCTATTAGATGCAGACAGGGGGGCTGGGAATGTGGCTCAGGCGGTAGCGCGCTCGCCTGGCATGCGTGCGGCCTGGGTTCGATCCTCAGCACCACATACCAA